AAATAAATAAATAAATATTAAAAAATTCTCTCTCTCTCTCTCTCTCTCTCTCTCTCTCTCCTCTCTCACTCTCTCTCTAAAAAAAAAAAAAAAAGATCAAGTAGAAACCCTGTGCCTTCAGTGTGGAAATGAGAAATGAACCTTAACTTCTGTGAGGTAAAGTAGAAAAGACCATAGCTGAAAGGAGAGCAAATTCACCACTAAGATGTAGTAAACATTTGCTCTAAATCCATGGTGGAACATAACAGTTTCCTAATCACACTGTCAATAAAGATCTCAAGGGCCCTTGGGGCTGGATCAAACTTTCACACACCAAAAAACTGTAGAAATCATTTCTGTCCAAGAGAGGGTTGTCTCTCTTGAAAAAACAAACAACAAAAAAGGAAACTATCTTTTTTCCTGACTTAAGAGTTTTTTTCTTATAAAATTAATACCTGTTTAAATAAAATTCATTATAGAATTTTTGGGAAATACAATAATGCGCAAAGAAAGGGAGACGCTCCTCTAAATGACACTGGAGGTCCCCCCTTGCAACTGTTAAGTAAAATTGGGATTACTGTAATCGCAATTTTGTATCATTTGGGTGAACATTTATTTTCCCCATATAATTAAATACGATGGGAGAGATTCCAATACACAAATTTGTTGCAATTTATTTAACCAATCTCGAATTGTTGGACATTTGAATTGCTGCCTTATTTATTTATTAGGGCTATTGTTAAGTGAGGCAGCATCTGTTACACAAATCTTTACCCATATCCTTGATACTATCCTTTTAATTCCTGGAAGTGGAATTGCCGGACCAAAGAGTGCGTGATGCATACTGTCGATTTACTTTCTTAGAATGATTTTACCCATTTATACACCCACCGACAAGTTCATAGGACTAAAATGGAGTAGCGGATGTCATTAACTGTCAAATACCGAACTAGAACCCCTAGCCTCGGCTCTGGTCTTCTTTCACGTTTTCCCGCCCACTCCGTACACCAGCCTCGAGCGCCACGAGCGCCCCGCCCAACTTAGTACAAGATGGCCCGCCTCTTCCCAACTCCCCCAGCGATTATGCCCAATAAGAAGCAGCAGTTATTAGTGTCGCCACACGATTGGTAAACTGAAGGGTCAGTCGTCCTCAGGGGCGGGCTAGAGAGGTCTGACGGACGTGGMGACCGGCCAGTGAGAGCGCGAGCGGGGCGTGCGTGGCGTGCGTGGCTCACTGGCCTGGTAGTACTGGACCTGTGAGGTGTGCGGGCGGGTGGCTGCGAGAGGCTTTGGCTGACATGGCTCCCAACGCGCCGGCAGCCGAACCCGAGTGTCCTAAAGGCATCCGGGCTGTGCTGCTGGGGCCACCTGGGGCTGGCAAGGGTACGCAGGTGAGCGTCCGGACCTGGCTGGGCAGCGGAGCCCGCCAAACTCCAAGGTCAGGGCGGCCGGAGACCCGGAAGCCCTTTTCTCGCCCAGCAGCCGGCGGTGGGCTGAGGCCTGGGGGGACCCTGGCCAGGATCTCCGGTTTTGGTGGCGTGTTTAGGAGGAGGGTCCACATAGGAGATCGAGGAGTTTGGGTTAGGATTAGCATGCTTGAAGGATCCAGAATTGGCGTGTCGTGTGGGGGGAAAGGATCTCGGGGTAGTTGGATGCCTTGTGGGTTAGAGTACAGCTTTGAGGGTTGGGGTGAGCCTGGGACTCTGAATTATAGACTCAACGGAGACAAGATTCCTTGCGAGTTGGAAGTGAATTGTCCAGTTAGGGTCGCGTTCCAGGCACTATGGGTAGGAGAACTTTTTTGATAATGATTAACGACCGCTGGTAGAGGAACATCTCCAACACGTGAGGCAGAATGGGAGCTGGTGTGGGATTAGGAGTGCAGCTAAGAGAATGAGGTATGATAGATGTGAGCCACGAGTTGGGGAAGGGGGTGAACACCGAACAGCTGAAGGCTGAGCAGCGCAGGATAACTTAAATGATTTTAGATGAGAGAGAACTTAAAAATTTCATAGCTTCATGAATCAACAGATAGGAAAACAGGCCCAGAAAAGTCAAATGACTTTCCCAAGTTAGTGAAATTGGTCTTATGGAAACTTGGGCCTCCAAAGGATTGGAGTCTGAAGTTGGCTTTTTGGCCTAACAGACTACAGGGCCTCACTTGGCATCTGAGCCCCCTCTAGATCTGGGAAATAAAGGGGCCATTGATCAGAGTTGGGATTTATGATCTCATTTAGGTTTTGGAAGCCCTTAAGTTGATTATTGATGTCCCCTTCCTGCCCAGGGTTTAGCATTGCCCCACAGCACAGACCCTGGGCCTTGGATTTCAGCCTATCATTAGGCACTAAAGAGGGAATTTCTGAAAGTCTGGGCTTCTAGGTGAATGGGGACTGTTTTATGCCCACTCTTCATAGCACAGACCAAGTTTAAAAGTTTTGGCAAGCCTGGCCTAGAGACCATGCCTATAGTCCCAGCTACTTGGGAAGCTCAGGCAAGAGGATCATTTTGGCCATTAGTTTGAAAACAACCAGGGACACTTTACCAAAAAACAAAAACAAAACAACAACAACAAAAAAAAACTTGGCAAACAGACTATGTCACTCATTCTTGGGACCCCTGTGGCACTCAGCACATTACTTGACATTTATTAGGATTACTAAAAATGGATGAATGACACAGATTAATGTGGGTGATGAGGAAAAGGGAGGTCTAGAAGGCTCAAAACATTCCTGTGACTTTGCTTTCCACCTGGGTCAGGAAGGACCAAGACCACTTTCCCTTTTCTCACCATAAACTGAGCTGATTCTTCTTGGGGCCCCACCCAGTACCTAATCCCCTTGTACTCAATGATGTTGACATCTCCTTCCTGTTACCRCCTCAATTATTAGGTAATCTGTAGCCTAGAGATGTTTAATCTTAGACTTTGCAGATTTTTGCTGTGAGTGACTCAGTACTAACAGTAGCTTAAATGCATCTTTGGCTCTTTTCCTTAACTTACATTGAAATTGGTAGGTTCAATAGTTGTGAAATGCACAACCATCCTAGTGCTGAGACAAGAGCTTTATAGTCTAGCAAGCTGTGTAACTTCAGAGTCTTAGTTTTCTCACCTGAAAAATGAAAAATTCACCAGGATGCTGAACAATTATGCTTCATATATTTATAATGTGTCCAGATGTAGCTAGTGGACAGCCTAGCACACTGTAGGTGTTGAATGAATATTGACTCCCTTATCTCAGTAACATATCTCCTCTCCCCCTGACTCTAATGTATTTCAGTGTAAAAGATGACTAATTCAGGACATTTGAGGAAAATAATACAGTTGATTAATGTAGGTGATGAATGACAGAAGTTGACCATGGTAGTTGATGAATGGTAGAAGAGAAGGCTTTGTGGAGAATATTAGAACTGGGACTTGAGGAAGGATTAAGATTTACACAAGTCACAATCTCTGTACAGCTTCCTTTGCATTGTGGGAACCATAGAAATACTGGTGGTTGTAGTTTCATGCAATTAAAAAAGAGTTGAGCAGGGTGTGGTGACACACACCTGTAATCCCAGCTTACTCAGGAGGCTGAGCTAGGTGATTTGCAAGTTGAGGACCAGCCTGGGCAACTAAATGAGACCCTGTTCAAAAATAAAAAGGGCTGGGGATATAGCTCAATGGTAAAGCACCCTGGGTTCAATGCCCAGTACTGGGAAATTTAAAAAGGTAATAAACCAAAGGAAGGTAGCAAGTGGCAGTCTGTAGCAACATTTCACCTGCAGACATACTCCACACCCATACTTTTTTATTATGTTGAGTTTTGAATACGTCAAACAAGACAGGATGGTGTAATGGGTCCCCGTAACCATTAGCTGGTGGTCATTGCTTCCCCACCCACTCTCCCTTCAGAAAGCATCTCCCAGGTATCATAGTTTATCATTTGTAAATATTTCAACGTACATCTCTAAAAGATCAATTCTTTTTTGAAAAAATATGAATACAATATCCCCTAAAAAATTAACAATTTTAATAGTAGTTAATGTTCAAATTTCCATTTGTCTCACAAATATGATAGTCTCTTTTAATTTTTTGCTCTTTATTTTTTTWAAATCCTACATTTTTGTACGGAAAACTAGTTTGTCCTGGGAGTATTATTGCTCATTTCTGAAATTTTTTATTGTGTTCCTATGGTGTGTTTAACATTTTCTTCTGTCCTATTTCCTATAAATGTTTAGTTTAACCCATATACTTATTCAGATTTAGGATCAATTTATTGGCCCAGCTACTACAGGTGATGCTCTGCTCTCCATTAACAGGCACCTACTTGATACTTTTTTGTCTCTGGGTATTCACATCCATAGCTGTTCAGTGCCTAGGTCCATTAATTCCTTATGGGTAGCAAAGTGATGATGTTCTAATTATATCACTCCTTTTTCATTTCTTAGCTGAACTATCTCTGTCCTCCTTTATTTGTACCCATTAATATTGAAAAAGTAAGATAATGCTTAATTTGTTCTCTTTAATTGTCAGCTTTCAAAATAATACATACTATGGAATATTTCAGTTGGGAAATTTCTCTTTAAATTCAATTTCTCTTTAAACTCAGAGCTCCAATTTATCTTAAAAAATTAGAGAGCTGGGCTGGGGTTGTGGCTCAAGCGGTAGCGCGCTCGCCTGACATGCGTGTGCCCCGGGTTCGATCCTCAGCACCACATACAAACAAAGATGTTGTGTCTGCCGAAAACTAAAAAATAAATATTAAAAAAAAAATTAGAGAGTTGGGGTTGTGGCTCAGTGGTAGAGTGCTTGCCTCACATGTGTGAAGTACTAGATTCGAGCCTCAGCACCACATTAAAAATAATAATAAGGGCTGGGGATGTGGCTCAAGTGGTAGTGCACTCGCCTGGCATGCGTGAGGCACTGGGTTCGAGTCTCAGCGCCACATAAAAATTTTTTAAAAATAAAGATATTTAGGGCTGGGGATGTGGCTCAAGCGGTAGCGCGCTCGCCTGGCATGCGTGCGGCCTGGGTTCGATCCTCAGCACCACATACCAACAAAGATGTGTCTGCTGAGAACTAAAAAATAAATATTAAAAAAAATAAAAAAATAAAGATATTTAAATAATAATAATAAATAAACAAAATAAAGTTATTTTTTAAAGGGGGGCGCTGCAGCTCTGGCTCAATGGTAGAGTGTTTGCCTGGCACATGTGAGGCACTGGGTTCGATTCTCAGCAACCTATATGAATAAAATAAAGGTCCATCAACAACTAAAAACATTTTTAAAAATTAAAAAAAAATATTAGAATGTCTGGCAGCCATGGGCCTCCATTCCAGCACAGCAGTAATCTGTTGCAACTGAGTAATATTGTTACTTTGGATGGTCAGTGTACTCTCCTGTCCCCTGCACAGTCCCCTTTGCTGCCTATTGCTTACATTAGAATCATTTCACTCATTTACATTGCCTGACTGTCCCCTATTGACAAATATTTGCCACCTTTAATGTAAAATCCCTAACCTGGAATTAGTGCCCAGTGCCTTCTCAGAAGTTTTCTTCCTATTACTACTTCCTGCTATATTTATTATTTTAGGTATTTTATGTTGGCATGACTTAAATCTTTTTTTTTAATTCCTCAATTTAAAATGGTTAACCATTTAAAAACTGTTTTTGTGTCAGTGAAAGGTTTTAAAACATCTAGAATACTTGGGTTTGTTATTTTATTTAAATAACTTTATTTCTGTCTCCCTTCTAGAGTTGGATATTCCTCCAGTGTRGCCAAAAATAAGTGTGTTTCTTTTCTTTTCCTCTGCCAGTCCCTCCTTGTTTTTCCAACGTGTCCAGCTTTGGCCAGTTATTGGAGGCCAAGTACACTTAGGCAATCACTTGCCATCTCCCAGTTCAGGTTTATTCAATTACTCTAGTGAATTTAAATTCACAGCAACTCTAAGACCCACACTCACATCCCCTCTGTTACAGTTGGAGAAATAGAATTCAATGACTTGTTCTCTTGGCTCTGGAGCAAGTAATTGGTAGAGATTATGCCTGAATGATTCCAGTGCTCTTTCTGCTGCTGTCTGCTTCCCCAAGTTGGACTTTCTCCTATGCTGCGTGACTCAGTAGAATGTAATAATTATAGCATAGTTGTAACCCTTTACTCATTATGTGACAGACCCCAAGCTAAAGATTTTGCATGCTTCATCTGATTTAATTTTTATAACCCTAGAAGATATGTTCTGTCGTTATCCATACCTTTTTTACAGAAATTGAGGCCCTAAGGCTATATCTTGCTACAGGATACAAACACAGTAAGTAGCAAAGGCAGGATTTGAACTCATGTCTGCCTGATTCTTCATCAGTCATCATTTTGGATATGCATACAAGAAGTRCACACTAGTTATCTATAAAGCACCAATTTAAAATATATAAATGAGGGCTGGGGCTGTAGCTCAGCGGCAAACCGCCTGCCTAGCATGAGTGAGGCACTGGGTTCAATCCTCAGCACCACATAAAAATAAACAAATATAGGCATTCTATCCATCTACAACTACAAAAAAAAWTTTTTAAATAATTAAAAAAAAATAAAATGTATAAATGAGTGGAAGGTAGAACAATAAGAGTAGAAGGAGAATAGTGGGGAGGGGAGAGGAGGGAAGGTCACCAGGGACTGAAATGGAGTAAATTAAATTCCATGCGTGTATAATGTCAAAATGAACACAACTATAATGTCCGAATAAAAGAAAAAAAATAAGTAAATAGAATTTTAAAAATACGTGCTAGTAGAAGTTGCCCTGTGGGAAGCATYAGATAAGTAACACAAATGCCAAGTTAGTTCAGGAATAGAACAAGAACTGTAATTTGTCACAGGCCTCCTGTATATCCTCCTACCCAACCAGTGAGGTTGGTGATGATAGCCCCAGTAAGAGGCAGAGCTGAAATCTAAACACAGTTTCTATAATTAAAAAAAAAAAAAAAAAAAAACTTTTACATGAAAGTATAATATGTATAGGGAAAGATGCAAATACTTTTTAAAATGATGAATTTTACAGTGTTAACACAGTTTTGTATAGCTTACACCCATTATCAAGACAGAACATTGCCAGCACTGTGAAATCTTGTGGTTGCACACACACACACACACACGCCCCTCTCATATGTACAGCTATGCTACACTAACACTCAGTTGTTTTAAGGCCATTTAGTGTCATGGATAAGAGCTAGGCCTTTACAGTCATGGGACCAGCTGCCAGCTCTGCTTTTACTAGTTTTGTGATCCTAGACAACTAGCCTCTGAATTTCTTCTGTAGAGAGCAGATAGAAATAGCTCATACCTCTTGGGTTTATTATGTATTATGCATACTAAATATTGTAAATTAATGCTTGGAAAATTGCTTGGCATTTTCTTCAGAGGAAGAAGAGGTCATTGGTAAGGTTTTTTGTTGGGAGAAATGGATGCAAAATTTTACTGTAGAGAAGGATATGGCTGAGACCAGTAGAGGAAAGGAAGAGGGCATTCCTTTGTAGAGAAGAGCCTATTTTATGTGTGGGAACCATACATAACAGCRACTTGCCTGAGTGGTGCCAGGCAGGACATACATGTAGAGTACTTTCAGAAGGAAGTTTGAAGAGCTTGCCAAATGTAGGATTGATTGTGGAGGGCATTGAGTGTCAGACTAAGATATTTGTCTCAGTACTAATGTCTTAGCACTGAGATATAGAAAGCTTCTAAGTGTTGTGTGTTTGTGTGGTAGGGAGAGGGTGGTATATCCAGCAGTATTGCAGGATATGATTCTTTTGTTTTGTACTGGAGATTGAACCCAGGGTGTTTTAGCACCGAGCTACCTCCCCAGTAATTTTTACTTTTTTATTTTGAGACACAGTCCCACTAAGTTGCTTAGGGCCTTGCTAAATTGCTGAGGCTGCCCTTGAACCTGCCGTCTTCCTGCCTGAGTCTCCCAAGTCACTGGGATTACAGATGTGCACCTCCTTGCCTGGCTATGCTGAATGATTTTGCACACATACTCTCATTAAATCCCCATGGTAATTTTGAGTGAATGATAGAACCTGGTTTCCAATCCAGATGTGTACCAATACAAAACTCAGTCTCTTGCCACTACCCCAGAGTGTCACAAACTGTGTGTGCATCAGAATCCCAAGGCTCTATATGAGAACCCCTGAATCGTAACTGTAAGGGTGGGTCTAGCATTTATACTTTAAGCAAGTGCCTCACGTGATTGCAATGATATAGTGCTCTACTTAGGATAGGGTTACTTCCAGATAAGATCCATTGTATGTTGAAAATGCATTTAGTACATATAATCTATTAAACATAGCTTAGCAACACAGTATGTTGTACATTATCAGCTGTTTCCACTCATGATCTTATGACCAACTGGGAACTGGAGTCTGAAACCCAGTGTCTATTGCCTTTGCCCAGCATCACAGAAGAGGGTCATTCCACGTTTTGCTAGCCTATGAAAGTTCAAAGCTTCAACTGAATGTATATCTCTTTAAAACCATATAAAAGCCAGGCATTGTAGCACACTCCTGTAATCCCAGTCTCTTGGTAGACTGAGGCAGGAAGATTACAAGTTCAAGGCCAGCTGAGGAAATTTAGCTCAAAATAAAAAGGACTGGGATGTAGCTTAGTGGAAAAGTGCCCCAGGCTCAATCTCCAGTATCAAAAAGAAAACTGTGATAAAACCAAAATATCCTAAGTTGTACTGGGAGAAGTCAGGATCCTTCTATACTGATGTTTGAGAACTACTAAGCCCCAGCATGCTGCCTCTAGTAGTTTTAGCCATTCCCATCCACTCCTCGCAAAAAAGTTCTCCACCACCCACAAGATCCTCAAAGAGGTAATGAGTATGGTACTTGGGTTCAGAAATAGTCTGGCCAACTGCAGAGTGTGATTGTGTGAATTCTAGGCTCCTCTTCACAGTGTGGCCCAGTGGCCAGCCGCCCATCCAGGCCTAGAAGCTGGTTTAAAATTAAGCACTTGCTAAGCACTTGCTCAGCGCTGGACTTCTGGAATCATAATCTGCATGTAAATAGTACCCCTCCAGGCAGTTTGTAGTCTGAAAAACTACTCTAAAGCATAAATTTGAAGTATGATGGGATTACAATAGTTACTTCATTAGGCTTCAAGCCCATCCACATTCTTTGCATGAACTCCCATGCAGCCAACAAGAAGTAGTCTTTCACCATGCCTCATCTTCCTATTAGTGTGAGTTCTTCATGCAGCTGTAGAATCCAATTACCTAGAACAGTGTAGAAGAGCCTCGCAGTTTGGGAAGGATGATAGAACAATTAGGTTCTGTGCTAACAGCTTTTCTCTGTAGTGTTTTGGTTACCTTTTTCCCATGAGCAAGGCTGACCTCCAAATGATTCACCCAAGTTAATTTCAACAACCAAGGAGAGATTGAATGTATGACCACAGTGCCAGCTTGGTTTTCCACTGCCAGCCGATTCTCACTTTCACTATTTTCCCAAAGTGCAAAGTTTTTAATGCTTTCTCATATGGGTTCCATTTCATTATAAAGTAATTTCTTTGCTCCAATTGAATCAGTCCATGAATCAAAAACCAGAATTTCCTGCATTGAGCCCCATTTACTTTGGTTGTGTGCACCTAAGAAAACTCAGAGAACAAACTGGTTTTGAACAAGTTTCCAAACTACTTAACTTCCTAAAACAACTGAACCAGAAAGCTAAGTATTAAGTTCTTTGATCCAATTCAGTTCTCTGTGAATTCTGAATTCTTTTTTGCCACTACAAAGAGCTTAGTGGAAAAATGCTCCCTGTCTGAGGTCTTTTCATGTTCTAATTCTGTTCCAATTTATAGTCCACCAAACTATTGAATCTTTGAAGACAGAGTCTAAGAGTGAATATAGATCTAAGGCAGGGGTTATGCTCACTGAGGACTTACTATGTGCCAGGCCTRCATATACAGAATTCTACAGAATCTTCTCATCAACTCAGTGATAAGTAATATTACCATCTCCATTTCACTTAGAGGAAATTTGAAACCTAGAAAGGTGAAGTAACTTCTCAAGTCACATGTAGTGATTGGTGGACCTGGAGTCTGAAACCCAGGCAGATTGACTTTCAAGACGATGCTTTTAACCACAAGGCTATACTGCATCCAGAGCTACCATGTGGGTGCTGTTTGCCATATGCTCTGCTTCTATATCAATATAAGCCTCACAGATACCTTCTGACATGGAGCTTTTTTTTTCTCTCTCTTTTTTGCCTTCATGTTAAACAGATAAGGAAGCCAAGTCTATGAGAAGTTAAGTGATTTGACCAAGGTGATGCAGCTACCTCATGACAGGAGGGGAGGAACCCCTGCTGGGAAGCAGACGTGTTCTTCACCCTGCCCTTAGCTTCCAGGCCCAGTTGTCACAGTACATGACAATAACACGTTCATTCTTGGGCAGATACTCAGCACATTATGTGCCCAGTACTATGCCACATGCTTTATATGCATGATCTTATTTAAGCTTCACAGCAGGTATGTGAAGTATTAATAATTTTGTTCTTCCCATTTGTAATAGTGAAAGTAGTGATAATAGTAGTTTACATGTTTGTCATGTATAATTGTTTTCATAATCCAGTAATTTACATTAGAATATGATATGTGGTGCTTTTATCTCTTTATAAGTAAGAAAGCAGGAACTTGACTGAATTTACACAGTGGTAGGATCAGGTTTATGCCCAGGCAATCTGATACCAGGGTCTGCAGGGTTAACTGTATCTTGTTTTTTGTCTTTCTTCCACAGGCCCCCAAATTGGCAGAAAACTTCTGTGTCTGCCATTTGGCCACTGGAGATATGCTGAGGGCCATGGTGGCTTCTGGCTCAGAACTGGGAAAAAAGTTGAAAGCAACTATGGATGCTGGGAAACTGGTAGGTTTGGTCGCATTAGTGAGTTGATATTCCTGAGTCTAGATCTACACWATCCAAATATAATAGCCACCAAACACATGTGGCACTTTATATGAATTTAAAATTCAGTTGTGTGTGGCCTGGGGATATAGCTCAGTTGGTAGAATACTTGCCTTGCATGCCCAAAGGCCTGGGTTCAAACCCCAGCACCACAATCAGTCAGTCAATAAATAAATAAATAAAATTCAACTGTGCTAGCTATGTTTTGGGTATTCACCAGGCAACAAAGACACAGAACATTTCCATCATCACTGAAAGTTCTTTAGGGCAGCCCTGTACTCTATTATATTACATTATATAAATTTTTAGAATAGCAAATTACCTCGTATGTTCTGAATTTGTGACTCTGAATTTATTTACAATATTCTTTGGGGTTTTTTTTTTTTTTTTTTGGTGATGCTGAGGATTGAACCCAGCCCATGGTAGGCAAATACTTTGCCAAATGAGCTACATCCCTTATTCACAGTATTCTTGAGGTTCCTTTATGCCTAATGCTTTATTGTAATATATTAAAATTTTAGGGCCAAGACTGAAACTGCCATCCCTAAGCCAGAACTCAGGGGTATTCAAAAGAAGACTCAAAGTCACAGATATATTTTTTAACCTCTTGCATGGCCGTGTTCTCTGTCTCTAACAAGGGAGTTAGCAATTGGAACAAAAATAATTCTACTTGGGGAATATAATGGAATTTTCTCTTGAGTTTAGACCGGTTGGCCTGATTGGACAAATACAATGTATTAGATACTAAATCTCTAATTAATGCCAGAGCTTAATTATAACTGAGTTATTCTAGAACTTGACCTCTAGAAATCACCTTCAGAAGTCATTTTGTGCTTGGTTCTCTGGTATTTTTGTGTCTGATTATGTTGGCTGGGGAAGTTACTGAGTTTTGCTTTCACCTCTGATTTCCTTTTAGGCTTGGAGTTACCCCATAGTATGTGTGCCCACCTAACCATTTCTTTTCTAGCTATTCATTTATGTTAATGAGGCTTTCAGTCAAGTCAGCAGCTAGATATTTTATTTTGGACATAAGGTCTTGGCAGAAAATTCTGTACTGAGAAATTTGGGATGTGACCATAGGATTGCTTCTCTCCAACCTTCTCTTAGTCATAGAGCTGATACTTTGTCCCCTAGTTCCTAACGAGTCCCTAACGAGTCCTGACAAAAGACCATTAGCTACCATAATGAGAAACCTTCACTGCAACACACAGTAGGAACTTTTGTTTCTATAAAGGCTCAGCAGAAGAACCAGATTTTGAAAGTTGAGAGGGGTCCTTATTAGGGTTTCAGAGAGGTTCAGAAACATACAGGTCCTTCAGTTCCATATTTCTGATCCAGTCTTACCAATTCAGTGAAGTTCTCTGTTGTCTTATATTCAGGATTGCCCAGATGTGTGACCAAGCACATATCTCAGTCGTTATACTGTTAGCCCAATCAAAATTGTGAATCAGGAATAGTTGGTGTCTGCCTGCATTCTAATCAATCCCTTTTCTATCCTGGTTTTCTTGGATGATATCTTAGCCATAGACCCTCACTTGTGCCTTGAAGTCAGCTGGTTGTTGATAAGCTGTTATCTGATGGTTAGGACTCTTGACTCTAGTAGCAAGAGAGGCCTTCAGGACCTACCACATGGAGTTCTGGTGATCTGACAGACTATAAAATCCCCTTCCCTCACCCAGATTTTTGGAACACAAGAGAATTTCAAGGGAAAAGAATATGTATGGCAACTACAAGAACAATGACAAAACCAGGTCTTGCAAATGGAGCCACTTGCTCTCATTTTTGCTTCTTTGGGGTCAAGAGGACTTGCCATTTAGTAATTAAGTGAAACAAATAAAAACTTTTGACCCTAAAGATAGACTAATGTCACCTAGTTAACAAATTTAAACCCAAGGCTGTTTTGTTCTTTACTTCCAGGTGAGTGATGAAATGGTAGTGGAGCTTATTGAGAAGAATTTGGAGACCCCGTCATGCAAAAATGGCTTTCTTCTGGACGGCTTCCCTCGGACTGTGAGACAGGCAGAAATGGTGAGTTGTTTATTATTTCTGTTACCATTTCCTGAGAGCAAACTCTGGCCCTTTATCTCTTAATCYCTTTGAAGGAGATGGGTCTGACCAAGCTCTGATAACTTAGGTGGGTCACACTCTTTTACAGCTTGATGACCTCATGGAGAAGAGGAAAGAGAAGCTTGATTCTGTGATTGAATTCCGCATTCCAGACTCCCTGCTAATCCGGAGAATCACTGGAAGGTATTTGTCCCTTGAAGGTCCCTTCTTTTCATGTTTCCTCAAATCTGTCATACTATGAGAATTGCTCTTACCTAATCCCACCCATGAAGCTTAGTGCCATTTCAACAAGGATTGATCTTATTGGTCACATCCACTGAAGTGGTGACATGAATTGATAATATAGGAAAAAGAGCAAGGGATTTAAAGTCAGCATCTCAGTCCTATCTTTTTATCTTTTACCCTAGGCACTTTTTTTAACCTCTCTCTAAGGCTGTTACCTTTTCTGTGGTATAGGGTTGATAGTACCTGCTTCAGGTCCTATTCAGATGCATGTTAGATAACAAAGTACATAGTTCAGAGCTTTGCTTATAGTAGGTGCTTAAGAAATTCCTTACAGGTGTATCTCTATTTTAGTGCTTTCTAAATCTGATTTCAGTGGAGTTTCATTGTTTGCTGTGGGCTTTTTATTAATTATAAAAAATAATATGACCATCTACACAAAATTTAGAAAATAGAGGAAATATTTGTTCATAGTGCAGAAATATGTTAGAAGTTCTCTGGGGCTGGGAATGTGGCTCAATTGGTAGCGCGCTTGCCTGGCATGCTTGCGGCCCGGGTTCAATCCTCAGCACCACATACAAACAAAGATGTTGTGTCCGCCAATAACTAAAAAATAAATAATAAAATTTWAAAAAAAAAGTTCTCAATCATGAATGGACCCTCCAGCTGGGCGCTGTGGCACACATCTGTAATCCCAGTGGCTCAGTAGGCTGAGGYAGGAGTATGGCAAGTTTAAAGCCAGCCTCAGCATCTTAGCAAAGCCCTAAATAGCTCAATGAGGCACTAAGCAACCCAGTGAGATGTTATCTCTAAATAAAATATAAAATAGGGCTGGAGATGTGGCTCACTATTCAAGTGTCCCTGAGTTCAATCCCTGCTACCAAAAAAAAAAAAAAAAAAGGACCCTCCGTTCCTCCGTTCTTCTCTTGAATATGGGCTATACCTTTTTTTATCTTTCTCAGTTTAATGAAGTCTCAGGAAAGTGGTCATTGCACTTTGATCTATGCAGATATCTATGATCATTATTTTTTTTTTAAGAGAGAGAGAGAGAGAATTTTTAATATTTATTTTTTAGTTCTCAGCGGATACAACATCTTTGTTGGTATGTGGGGCTGAGGATCGAACCCGGGCCGCACGCATGCCAGGCGAGCGCGTTACCGCTTGAGCCACATCCCCAGCCCCAATGATCATTATTTTTTAAAAAAACGTGTATTTTTTACGTATAGATGGATACAACACAATGCCTTTATTTTTATGTGGTGCTGAGGATCGAACCCGGGTCCCGCCCGTGCTAGGCGAGTGCCCTACCGCTGAGCCACAATCCCAGCCTTTATGATCATTATTTTTAATTGTCACTTGAAATTTCATGTAGTAGGTAGAACATTCCTTACTTAAGTATTCCCTTATTGCTGTACATTTGTGTTCCTTTTGATTAGCCACTGTTAAATTGTTAAGTGTGATCATTATATGACATGTAAATTTTTAATTAGGAAGAAAATGTGTTCTTGTTTTAGACTATTTTGATTTTCTGAGGTTGAACATATTTTATGTATCTATCRTCCATACCTTCAAAGAGAAAGACAGACATATAAATAGATGGCAAAGTGATAGGAGAAATGTTTTCCTAGAAGGCTGTAAAAATTAGTCATATCTACCTTATATTAATTTTCTTTTCAAATGTCCAAGTTTCATGTTTTCAGCTGTTCCATAGGCTCCTTAATTGAAGGGACTTTTTTTTTTCCTTTGGATCCCTGTTGGGTACAGAGTAGACAAAGTTCATGCAGGCCAAYAAGCAATAGGATTGACAGTTAAAAACATCACTAGGCCTGGAGTCCCTGAGGTGCAAAGCAGATGTAAACAGAACCAGGTGACACTGGGGACCTTTGACTCAATGGGTTCAGCTTCCTGAGTACCTGCTTTCTACATAGCATAGTTATTAACCCTGCTGGTGGAGGACCAGGAGAGGCTCTACAGGAGGAACAGTGTAATGATGCCCATCTCTGACCTCAAAGAGTCATATATTTGAAATCTGGGCTATTCAGTAATTTAGTACAGTAGGAGGTTCAAGAACAGTCTGGAGACAGGGAGAGAAGCTGCCTAGAGGTATGATATCAGTTCAGCCTTTCTGGATGAAGAGAATTCAGTGAGTCAGACTTCTAAGAAGGGAGTAGAAGCAGAATTGAGTATGCATTGGAGAGGAATTCTACCTATGACTAGTAGCAAACTTGTCTGCTCCATAGCTGGAGGAGTACTCTGGAAATGGGGGGCAAAGTAAGTGCTTTTGGAAAGAGAAGATGGGAGTTTGATGGGAGGTCTACCAGACTGAACAGGGTGGACTTGACAAAGAGTTCAGGAGTCATGGGATGTTCTCAAGCCACTTGATGTTGGGGCAAAAAGTGCATTCTAAGAACATTACCTTGGTGTTAGCATATAAAGTAAATTGAAGAAGAAGAGCAACAAGATAAATACCCCATCTTGGAGCTTGCACATAAGCCACATGAAATGACGGAGGCCTGCAGCTAGTGGGTGGGGATGGAGGGAGCAGACATTCTAAAGAACTAGCTGCAGTATTACAATAAAGGGTGGAAGGGGAAGACTCGGCCCCTCTTTTTGGAAATGAGTGGTTTAGTGTGACTTCCTCACTCAAAGAAGAGGACCCATTCCCTCACAGGGCATGCCAGACTAGTAAAGATGTTTTTCAAAATTCACTGAGTAGATGAGTGGCAGAACCATCACCAGAAACCTGCTTTCTGCTTCCTAGAATACTGTACTGATGAAGGAAGGGAGGCAGATAGTAGACCGTTCAATGTAGCTCCTGTTTAAGTCTGAGGCGATAAGGACCTCACTATAATAGATTTCTGAATTAGTTATAGCCTCACTTATGATAATTTAGTATCTTGAATGTGATAGTTTTTATTTTTCACCTACTCAGTATTGGTTTTCTAGTATCCTAATTATCTTACCAGTTGGCTCTCTGGTGTCATTATCCTAATGTCTAGTGCTAATAAAAAGAGCTGATGCCAAATGGGGTGGTGTACACCCGTAATACCAGCAATTTGGGAGATGAAGCAGGAGGATGCAAGTTCGGGGCCAACCTCAGTAACTTGGGCCCTAAGTAACTTAGCAATAGATTGTCTCAAAATAAAAAGGGACAGAGGTATAGCTCAGTGATAAAGTACTCCTGGGTTCAATCCCCAGTACCAAAAATAAATAAATAAAAATAAACAGTGTCTGTAGAATTCCAGCCTTGGTTGCTTCTTATTTTTGCCTCTATATTCAGGCCAGCCCAGTGACTCGTGGAGCTGTTTTTGTTGATACTTGAAACTAATCCCATTTTGAGAACCTGGAGACTGGGCTTGCTTTCTTTCATTTACCTTCTGGAAAACGAGCCTTGAATTTCTCTTTAAAATCAAGTTTGTGGTAGAGCGCTTGCCAACTATGCAAAAAAAAAAAAAATGTTTGTGGATGGGGAAAGAGCATGTTGTGTGTGAGGGAATCTGGGAATTCACAAATGGTAGTATAGAGATGAGAAAAGGAAAGAGTTGTATTTGTTGCAACATGTCTGCTATGTGCCACGTGTCTTACAGGTGAAGAATACCACTGGGCTGCATCTCATGCCCCTAGCCTTTCCCATAGACATGGCAGCTGAGCCCAGCAGCCTGTGCTCTCCCTCTCCCTGGGCCTCCCAACAGATGCCATTTCTGAATAGATGAATCAAAGGACCTCTTCTAGGGACTCAAATAATGGAGAGGCCAATCTCACTGTACATGTTGCAGTCACAGTTCTCTCCTGTCCCCTTTTCTCCTTCCATTGACCTACTATCACCTTATGCCATAAATGAATCATCTCTCCCTACCCCCTCAGATATGCTGAGATTAAAATAGTGTAGTATCACATGCTGTTAATGTATGACTTCAGTAATATAAACAGAATTAGTAGAATTTCCCAACTGATGTGCTAAGATTATTAATCCCCTCAGCCATCAGAGCAACTGGATAGGCTTGGGRTGCCCATTGCTCCCAAGGAGCAAGCCCCCTGAGTGTTGTACAAATATTATTTCTGTGTATGCCAAGATGTGAGAAGTGTTGGGAAACTCTGATCTAACAGATCTTCGTAAGGAGAGCAGCCATCACTTAAATAAGCAAATTCTTGATAAGCAGAGAATTAGGAAAGCATACAATTTAAGCAAACCCTGGCTGCTGAGCAAAATTTGAGCTGCCTTCCTCTCTACTTCGGTTTCTAGGCTTTTGTGTAGATATTCCTGGTCAGGAACACGGGCTTTGTTGCCTAAGGGGTTTCAGCAGATGCAGGTACTAGCTACATAGTCCTTATCAAATAAATACCTATTCTTGGGCTATTTTGTGACATGTTTTTGTTTTAAAACAAAACATTGTTTTATCTGATCATAGACAGGACTCAAACCTCTGGGCTCAAGTTTCCTTTCTCCTTTAGCCTCTCAAGCAGCTGGTATTATAGGAACAAACCACTGTACCACTTGGTGACTTTTTTAATATATCATTTGTCCTGAATATTGCCCTGTAATGGTTAGGTTGTGCTTTATCTATGTGATTGTAAAGGTGTGCTGCATTATCTCGTGGTATTCATGTGCATGGAATTCTTTTTTTTTTTTTTTTTTTTTTCTGTTAGCAGCTGTTTGGTTTTGTAATCAAACTGGTTTGGAAAATGGCATTAATCCAGGTGCAGTGGCTGTTCCTCCTGTTGAGGCAGGAGGATCGAGAGTTATATGTTCCACAGTCCTTTCCCTGACTAAGCACTGCTTATGAACAGAAATCTCAACTCATTGCTTCCAACTAGTCTGAGGCTTCAACTTAAGGCCTGAATTGGACGAGGCACTATTAATGTTCATTGAATGAACTAGTGAATAGAATAGATGACTATGTGAGATCAACACCAGAACTCCTTCTTTCAAGTCCTGAATTAAGTAGTTATGTTAGCAGCTTGCCTCTTTAAACACTCATTGTGTTTGGTCAAAATAGAAAATACACCCACTCTGCCTTTACATAAGTCGTTATTTTCCAAATCAATAGTTACCTTTAACTGGGTTTTCTGTTGGGTTAAAGGCTTTACATCCAGCTTTTCTGTCTTTCTTGCTCATTCAGGAGACTTTTGGGGTGCAGAGGCTACTTTCTGGCAACCTGATTCATGTACATTTGCTGTCTTTCAGGCTGATTCACCCCAGAAGTGGCCGGTCCTACCATGAGGAGTTCAATCCCCCAAAGCAACCCATGAAAGATGATGTATGTAAACTCAGGACAGGAAATGTTCTTTCTTCTTTCTCCCTTCATTTTTTGCTCCCTCTGTGTGTGTGTGTGTGTGTGTATGTGTGTGTGTGTGTCTCTCTCTCTCTCTCTCTCTCTCTCTCTCTCTCTCTCCTTTGTTCTTTCCATCTTCTATTTTATCAATATTACTAACTTAACCATGAAAAATAGCACTGTTAATAAATCAGATGGCTTGTGACAAATCTGTATAGTGTCTCTCTGGGTAGTTTATTGCTTGACCTCAAAGCAGCTGCTAGTGCCAGCTGTTTCCCAGTGCCTTATAATATCTTCTGTCCCAAGTAACCCTGCTCTGATATGACCATAAGTGGTCCACTAATCAGAAAAAGGTTTCAGAGAAGCCCAGAACTAGGGGGTGGATGGGTAATACCGAAGAGAAGTATACTGATCAGTTCTGCTTCACAATATCCTAGAGACTGCTCTGCTGTACCCTGGAGTTTCATACATGGTCATACATGGTCACTAGATCGTTTGCAGTAAGGAGTGCATGTGATCTGTTACGTGCAGGCAACAGTGAGAATTTCCTGGATTTATTTTTGTCATATCAGATAAGTTCATCAGGTCATCCAAGTTCTATAAATACAAATTCCAAAGCCATCATAATTTAGGCACATTTTGAAAAACTGGTAATTCTACCATTCAGAGTTCTTTCTCACTTCACTTTACACTATTAGAATGTTGATGGGTGACACTTTGGTACTTATGCTAAATACTAAAGCAACTAGGATTATAATTACTAATGCATCCCTAATTTCAATGTATTCTTCTTGTCTCGGGGGCCTCTATCTTTCTTGCTTCTCACCCTAGAAGTGTTCATCTTGAAAAGTGAATAGCCTAAGCACAGACCTGTGAGAAAAAGGTCCTCTCTTGAGGGCCTTTTCTCATGTTTCTAATGGGTTCTCTGACTTCTCTGGACCTGCTAGTCTGCTACTGGGAGTGGGAAAATTCTTTACCAAAGAGGGTCTAGATTATCTGTCTTTGTTTCTGATGAACTATGGGATCAGACAACATCCTAGACAGAGTAGTCTCATCTCACATCTGACATGGATAAAGAAACCTTGCAAATAGTCCCAGCCTTTCATTCCCCTTCTTATTCTCAGATCACTGGGGAACCCTTGATCCGCCRATCAGATGATAATGAGAAGGCCTTGAAAATACGCCTGGAAGCCTACCACTCCCAGACCACCCCACTTGTGGAGTACTACAGGAAGCGGGGGATCCACTCTGCCATCAATGCATCCCAGACCCCTGATGTCGTATTTGCAAGCATCCTAGCAGCTTTCTCCAAAGCCACATGTAAAGATTTGGTTATGTTTATCTAATGTTGGGTTCAGAAAGGAATTTCTTCTTCCTATCCCTGTTAAGGGTGTGGGTAGGAATGGCAGGGCAGGCAAAGGGAAGCGTCCTTCCTCAGGCTAGAAGAATCTCTCTTGATTTACTGATTAAAAAGCACTTGCTTGATGTACCTGGTGTGTAGGCAACTCTCATCTCATCTGTGTGTCTATATGTGTTATCAGTATGTGGTCACTCCTACTTTCTATGTTTGGGTCTCAGTTGCTTTACCAACTATTTATTTCTTTAGCCATACTCTTGTGGGTTTTTTTTTTGTTTTGTTTTGTTTTGCAGTGGTGAGGTACTGGGGATTGAATTCAGGGGCACTTGACCGCTGAGCCACATTTCCAGCCCTATTTTGTATTTTATTTAGAGACAGGGTTTTATTGAGTTGCTTAGCACCTTGCTCTTGCTGAGGCTGGCTTTGAACTCACAGTCCTCCTGCCTCAGTCTCCCGAGCTGCTGGGATGACAAGCTTTCTTTAGCCATACTCTTTATTTTTTAACCAAAATAAACCATACCAGGTATCTGCCAGGTACCCAGTTCCAAAGCCTCATAGTATTTTTCCCAGCTGATAAGAAGTCCAAGGTCACATGAAATCAGACAGTTTCTGATGTAGAGAGTTGGCAGGGAATTCCACTTTTCAGTCTACAATGAAAAGCTACAAGAGTCAGCAACTGGATAGGGATTATTAATTTCCCCCCAAATTGGGAAAATAAAAGGCACTTATATTGCAAATTCCAGAATTTACTGGGAGAAGTTATCACTATACAAAGAGCCAAGCCAGGTTGAAATATTTTTGTGATCTGTATCATGGTGCTGCTATAAGGTATGGATCCTTTGGGACTTGGGTTTGAAAACTGAATTGTTTCAAAGAATTAAACCAGGTAAAAGGTCCTTTGGAATTCAGATTGTCTTCTGAACATCCAGACTGGACAACTGAGAACAGCCAAATCTACTTCCCCAAAGAGAGACCAGGGTAGGTTTTTTTGCTTTGTTTTTAATGTTTGCCTTTGTTTCCAAGTATTAACAAAATAGTGATTTGGGGGGGTGATCTGTTCTTTTATTCATTTTGGTCAGAATTTATTCAAACCCAGTCCCTCTCTAGGATATAAAACCCAAATCAAATGTGTCCTTTTTAAACCCAAATCTCTCCCTCCCATCCAGTCTTTCACCCTTTATTTCATGATGGTAATAGCTACGGAACCCAAGAAAAAAAATCACCCCAAAATAAGATCACCTATGACAGTCACAAAGTTTTTGTTTATAACATTGGCTTCCCTGCTATTAAGCATTTCCTAGGGTCCATGCTGTGCCTTTTGGTCTCTGGTTTGATTGTGGCAAACAGATGAATTAATGGGTTCCTGTGAAGAGACCACAAAACCTGCAGCCTCTGGAAAAACCATTAGAAAGTCAGTGGTACATTCAGTAAGTAATTCTGCCTGCCTCAGCATAATCAGCTGCTGACTCGTTGCAATGGACTATAAAGTGCCCAGTCCCTATCTGACCTGAGCTGTCCTACTGTCTGTGAGACTCCTGGAGGGCTTGATCTCTGCCCACGTGGAAACTGGGCATGGATGTGTGGCCACCTTGTTTTCCTCTTCGCCTAGCCAAGTGAGTGAGTGCTGCCTCTGCCCAACTTTGCTCCCCTGCTTCTAATCTAACTCTGCCTTCTTAATGGAAACCCAGTCTGGTTTTGGGTGTTTCTGGGAAGCACATGGCTTCTGGGAATGGACAAGAAAGAAGAATGAAACTAAAACTATCAGCTATGCCTGCCAAGAGTCTGACATCCTTCTCTGAATGAGGGTGAACTCATGAATCTTGGAATTGACTCATGTTTGACCAAGGATAGTTTCAGGCATTTGGTCTCAGAGTCGGGGTTCTTGAATGTTTGCTAACTGAATGTGTGTGTTCCTTTCTTAAATATTTGACATCTGTCCACAACATTTACATGTGCACACATGCACACACGTGTGCAAGTGACATTTAAATTGCAGGTGAAAACTAAATGATCACAGGAGATAATATACCTTTCTGAGGTGGTTATGATTATATTTTCGCTTCATTTAATTAAAAAATCTTAACCTCAGCAGGCATGAGAGCTTTCATGGCAGAAAAATGTCCAGTGTTTAATGCATTTGGTTGCTGGGGCGTGCATGCCAACCTTTTCTGACATTTACTTGGTTTTTAAAAATCCATTTTGTTCTCTCTTGTTTCCTTTCTATTTCAGCCTAGTAAAGAAGGCCAGGCGAGACTGCACCACTGCTCATCACCCCGCGGCATGATCCCTGCTCTTTGGTGCTGGGCAGAGGGGAARGGTGTCAGGGGAAGCATGGAGAGGGAAAGACTATTTGGAAGACCAGCAGTGTTGTAGTGAGTGGGGTTTTTTTTACATGTAGGTGGGAGTTTTAAAAATATAAACAATTAATTTAAAAAAAAATACTGTGATTGAGGGTGTGGATACAAATAGGGTGATACAGTATTTCTAAGCAATCGGGTTTTCATTTACTCTGAACTGGTTTCAATATATTTTAAAGCCAGTGTTCTTAGACCTCAGCTTTTATCTCAGAACCTCATGGGGTGCCAGGCCAAGAATGCAGGAAATCAAAMTGTGGTCCTGTGTGTTCTGTAGCTTAGAAGAGAGAGTGTTTGATTGTTAACGCTGGTGCCCCACACCATAAGATCAAAAAATCATCTCTATAGGCTAGGGATGTACCTCAGCAATAGAGCACTTGCCTAGCATGTGCAAGGACCTGGTTCAATCCCCAGCATCAATTTAAAAAAAAAATCATCTCCACACCTAAAAGAGATAAGGGGTTGGAGGTGGGGCTCAACAAATCAAGTTTTCTAGTGTTGGGGAAAAAAGGGGAGGTGGGTCTCTTTCCCTTCCCCTGATTCACCACTCTCATGGCTAAGCTCAYGGTSTCAGCAACCACCCAGCAYGTGCCACAATCTTAYGCCTTCTTTCATCTGTGGTGTGWGAAAGGACCCTTTTTAATAAAYGAGCAAGGGCTGGGGATGTAGCTCAGTCGTATAATGCTTGCCTGGCATGCACAAGGCCCTGAGTTTAGTCCCCAGCACCATGAAAAATAAGTAAATAAAAATAATAAAATGAACAAKTGTCCTAAGCTATATCATCCAAAGATTAYCCTTTCCATCCTCATATCCTGTGAGTGGGACACTCGACAGCACTGTGATGTATTATCTTCAATGAGGTGCCTTTCTTAATTGACCAAATGCTGCCTTGTTTGACCCTAAGTCAATAAAGTATGTTAAAAATTTGTATCCCCTGTTGTGGCTTTTTTCCCCCCTCCCCTAAGGGAAACCTGGGCTAGAAAAATGATGTTCAATTCTGTACCTGGCCTGGAAACTTTCTCATGGTCACTAGCAGCCTTGTAACAGGAATGTCTAAGTATGTGGTCCTAAGATGCACCTGCAGACCCTCTTAACTATCAACTCTTAGGCCTTTTCTTGATCCCTGAGACTAGGCAGCTTGATCTAGTAGAGATATCACTGTGCTTGGAGTTCAGGAAACCAAGAACAGATCCCAATGTTGGTTTCCTCTCTTTTCCTGCTTCCTCATCTGAAAAAGGCCAGTAATGCATTTTCTGAGGCACTGGTACTAAATGAAGTTTATAAGGAGAAGCTTTGGCTGGGTGCCTGACATATAACAGACGTTGGAAAAATTGTTAGTTGGATCAGAACATATACAGAAAAATACCTGCTTCCTGCCAGGCTGTGTAATTATTGAATGGACAGCTGTCCACAGCCTAGAAAGCCGCTCTTCTAATCCTAAGCCAGTTCTTTGTCTACCTTTAAGGCTGCTGCTTTTAACACCCTCGGTTGCTTCTTTGTGTGTCCTACTTTAAATCCATTTACTCCTCAACAAAAGTGAGCTTAACTGGTTTGTCCAAACTGAAGTTCTCGTGCTTTTGGAAGGCTGCCTTCTTCGCCAGTGAATTTTCCAAGAAATTACTGCTGTTCCCAGAACCAGAGGGAGCTGGTCTAGAAGCACCGCCATTCTTCAGGCATCTTGTTACTGAGAAGCAGAGTCCTCACCAGCATACTAAATCCTGCTTCCTGAGCAGCCCCTCCCTTGTCTGCTCCTCCACTTCCTCACCTCAGCAGTCATTTTCAGGTGTCAGAATGACTGATTTGCTCTGATCGTTTCATTCCCCAAGCTATTTAAACACCCGTGAAAACCTTTCCTTGGGCATCATKTATCCAATTGGAAGGGAATGTTTGGCAAAGCAGCCTGCAAAGCAGCGTAGATTGGTTGAAAAGAATAAGATGAAGATGGCTGAGCAAGCTGTTCTTCCTTTACTCCTTTGGGCCTTGGTGTCCTTGTTGCAAATCAAGATTTAATGACATGAGAATTGCCACCACTCCTGGAGGACTGACGTCACGCCAGGTACTCTCCATACTTGACTGCACATCACTCTCCCAAAACACCCTGTGCAGTTGGAACTGTCCTATTTTACAGGTGAGGAAGGCAAGGAGTCAAGTGATGTTCCTTAAGTCACATCAAAGAGGCAGAGTTAGGGCTGGGGTTGTGGCTCAGTGGTAGAGCGCTTGCCTAGCATGCACCGAAGCCCTGGGTTCGATCCTCAGCACCACATAAAAATAAATAAATAAACAAAATGAAGGTATTTTGTCTAACCAAAAAAATAAAAGAGGGCTGGTTTTAACAGCAGCTTCTCCACCATGAGGCCTTGGGTAACTTATCTCCCCTCATCAGTGGAATGGGAATGATCCTTACACTCTGGTGTGTTAACAACTGGTCACCAAGATGCTCATATGGGTCAGAACAGCCGATACACAGCAGGTACTCAGTAAATGCTAATGGAGTTCAGAGAGAAAATGTGGATATTGGTGAGAGCTGTTGTCTTCCTGACCAGGAGAACCAGGCTAAGGATTCTTAACCCTAGGATATCCTAGAAATCATGAACCTTCAAAAATATATGCAAAATTTTTCTTTTTATATTTTCATAATTAATAACATTGGATGCTTACTGTGTAGGAGGTTCTGCATTCATTATTCTCAGTAAACCCATGGAGGTAAGTACTGTTGTAATGTGTGTGTTGTATGTGTGCATTTTGAGTCATACATGTGTGGCTCCACATCCCAGCCTCATACCATTGTGCTGGGTGATTTGACACTTTCCAGCAGAGAGGGGAAAGATGCTCAGAGGCACTTATGATACAGAAAAGGCCACAAGTCGTGGATCAAATGAAAGGAGAAATTTACCCAGTTATGCTCTGTCACAGTGAAGGATCTGAAGGGGGAACACTGTCACAGGTAAGGTCATCTTTGATTTTATTATCTCTGTGACTTCCTTGCCATTAGAAGGAAGCTCTAGGAACTGCCTTATTCCAGGATGGCCAGGGGGCAGGAGAGGACCCAGTTTCCCCCATCTCTGGTTCTAGAAAGGGTGGCAGCAGGAGGGGGTGTGTATGGACTGTACTTCACAGTCATCCCTCACAGACTGCAGCTCTGTGTAGCTGTGGTCTTGAATTATTCATAACTCCAGAGGGAGTACCGTGCTTCTGAGGTCTCCAGGATGTGGCAGCTCTGTTTAGAGTTGTCTGGGGCAGTGCGATGATGAATTTCTCTCACAGATGGCCCTTTTCAGATGCTCAGACCTGGTTGAGTTGCCCCAGCTAAGTAGGTGGGAGTGGAAAGAAAAGGTATAGTAAACAAAACCAGACTTTGATCTTGTGCAGATGACCCTCAGGCCCATAGGCCAAACATACCTGCATTTTTAGGGGTAAAGTTGCTGTGGCTCGAATCATCCCCTTGTACAGTGGCCCTTAAAGAAAGACTTTTAAGACAGATTCCTCTGGGCTTGGATCTAGGAGACAGGTACGCTGTCGATTTAGGTGGTCTTCATTCTTCTAAGTGAAAGGTGCTTCATTTTCTTGTGTTTTCCTTTTGGCCCTGGCTATGAGGAGATTCAAAATTAAGTCTTATGCTCAACCGCTGTCCTTTCCTCTGCCAGGTTTCTTAATAAAATTTCTACCCCACCTCAATCTCGGTTGTTTTATGTTTAGCATTTTGGTGTTGAATGTTTGTTTTGTAAACTGCCTATAGTGTCTGTTTTGGACCTTGAAAGCTTGTTTGGAGGTTCTAGCAGGGAAGCGCAGCTACTTGTATACCCTTGACCAAAGAACGTTTCTCTATTAGGGAAGGTCATCCTCTTTGACCAAGCATGCAGCTTCAGGAGGGACACACATGGAGCAGTGAGGGAGGAAGGGGACACCCTCCTAGCCAGCCAGATTAATTGCATCAACCCTGGCAATCAGTGGGGTGATAGATGTCCCAGCCAGATAGCCCTCACATCCTAGAGTCTGTTTTGGAAGAGAAGCAAGGTGTACAGGCAAAGTTAATGAGTCAGGGTCTATAGGTCAGGAGTCCTGTGCAGAGGGAGGACACAGGCCAGCGGAGTCCACTGTATTAGGGCTGTTCTAACCTAGTAACCCACCCCATAGAAGTCTTGGGAAATCCACATCATGTTGGAAATAGTACTTTTCAAACAAAGTACAGGAACAATAGAAGGGAAATTTTTCAGCTCATGAATAATGTCAAGATCCCRGAACAGCAAAAGACAAGGATACATACACAGAATTGATAGCCCACTCAGGTGCCATTTTTTCTCCTTCCCCACAGATACATCATAGCCTGAGCTTTGACAGTGCATCAGGCCATCCTTTGCTGTGGGACTGAAAAGTGGGGAATACTTTAATTTTGTGATCATCTCTTGTGTTTTCAGTCATGTCCCCACTGGTGTGAGCATGGGTTCTGGGAGTGACAGAGATCATATGTGGTCAGATCTGGGCACTGACTAGTTCACTATGTGCCCTAGGGGAGATGTTTAACCTCTATGCCTCAACAAACTCATTGTAAAATGAAGATCATAGCACCCCTGTAGAAGAAAGGGTGGCAGAGTTTATATGAATTGAAAAATAGCAGCTGCCTAATATCAGAATGGGTGTCTTTACCCGTTCCTATTCTCTAGTGTCTCCTTCATCCCCTTTGGAAAATGGTACCAAACTAGAACAGGTTATTTTTCATTTTTCATTGGTGTATTTCCTGGGCTGCCAGCTGTGCCCCTGGATGGAGATGGGAATCAGTTCTCTTCCCCAGAGATGGTGATTCTCCTCCAGGTTGGCAGGAGGAATGTGGTCCTGACATGGCAGCCAGATAGTGATAGTCATTTTTTTGTTTGTTTGTTTTTGATGGTGCTGGGAATTGAACTCATGGCCTTGTGTATGCRAGGAAAGCACTCTACCAACTGAGCTATATTGCCAACTCAGATAGTGTTAGTCACTGAAAGTAAGACAGTCTATAGTTGAAGATGAGAAYCGGAGCCACTGCTGAAACCATACCTGGGGCTGGCAGGACCCGCTCAGATCCCACAGACCTGCTGCAATGGCTGCCTGCAGGAACTGTCATCCTTGAGGCCAGAATGGAAGGGAACAGACATGCATGATGAGACAGATCTGTATGCTTCAAAAGCACATGACACCAGSGAGGTGCTGGAGTGGATAGAAGTCTAGTGAGAATTTGTTGGCTTCTGTTTTGAGAACCTTTGAAAACTGCCCTGAAATAAGGGAATGAGAGCAGCATCTTCCTGCTGGAGAGCAGGGCAGGATGAGCTGGCGTTTATCAGGTGCTTTTGAACAGAGGCTGCTCAACGCTCTGGAAGCCCTCTCCAGCTGGCAGCTCCAGCTCAGCCATTCCAGTTTGTCTGTGTATCCTAAGGAAATGACTGTGCAGAAAGCATTTTT